TTTCTGACTGATTGTACCCCTCTTTGTGCAGCGTTCTGAGGATATGTAGGGATTTGTTAGCTTGTTTTCTTCCTCCTTTTTTTTCATAAACCTAGGTTGTGTACTTTTTTTTTCTAATTTTTTTAGGTTGTGTACTTCATCCAGTAGGAGTGTCGGATAGTAGCGTTATTTCTGATCAGAGGTTTACAGCTTCGTCATCTCGTAGCGGCCGCAGTCCATCTGATGGCCGATTAAAAGGATCCAATGCCTGGATTCCTGCCACAAACAATGACAACAATGATTTCCTACAGATCGATCTGGGATCTGTTTACTTTGTTTGTGGAGTAGCAACACAAGGAGATCCAAATAATGATCATTGGACAAAAACATACAAGATAAAGACGTCCCTGGATAATGTCTGGGGGGCATTCTACTCTGAGAGTGGCTCCGAAAAGGTACATCCTTTTCTACTCTAGCTGAAGTAATAGCGAAGTTATAATCGTACAGGGGCACCCAACGACAATTTTCGGAAGACGATTTGAGATCTAGAATTTTCGGATCATTTCCTGTAAAATTTCTTGCTTGCCTGCCTCTCCTAGGATTTGCGAACATCAAAAAAGTGGTATAATTGCCCATTTTTAACGGATTTTTACCCTAAAAATTAAAGGTCACCTAGAAACCTTTTTTCGGGCTGAAATTTTCGAAAAGGTAAATTTTGATCCCTATAATTTTCGATCACTATACTTTCAGCTAGGAAATCAGAACAGATGAAAAATTTTTAAGGGATAAAAATAAGCCTTTATCTACCGTTTAAATACTAAAGTACGTTCAACAATGCTATGTTTATGTGGTTTTGAACTATATTCTCGTTGGGTGCCCCTGATCGTAGAGACACTAAGTGATAAAGCATTGTGTTTACCTCTTAGCCACTTCAAACCAGGAATTCAGATGAAGTTGCTTTCGTCCCCTTTCTCTCCCTTCCATTCGCTGTCCTCTCTCTTCTCCCGTCTTCACCGTCTTTTAAGTTTCCTCCTCCTTTTCTTCCTGCCTCCTGCCCTGCTTCTTTCCCCCCTCGTTACTACAGTCCTCCATCCTTAGTATTTTGCTGTTTACATAGGAAACGTTAAGGAAATAAGTAGTAAAATGTAAAGAAACTGACATACAGGTGGTTTTCCTTTTAATATCCTTTACCTTTTGTTCTGTAGGCGGGAGTCATCGTCAATGTAGTTGCAATCCTAATAAATATCGTTTGTTCATATGTGTTGTAGTTAATTCTTTATCTCAGTTAATTTTTATTTTTCCATTGTTTTTGGGTATGATAATGAATGCTAATGAATTTGAAACAAAGGAAATATAAAAATTAACTGAAATAAAAAATGAACTGCAACATATGTTCTTGTTTCTCATGTTAACCGTGAGCGGGTAGGGTTAGACGTAGGCTACGTTAAAAAGGCACTAGACGAATTTTCGACCGGTTGAAAAATTTGACCGGACACGGAACCGTTCAATATTTTCGCTCTCTTGACATGGAACTTACAAACCAGTTTCAGAATTTTAATTATTTTCAGTTGTTTTTCCATCTACCCATGCGCAGAGCACCACTTCACGTGAAATCCAGTATGGCGTCTCCCAGCTGAGTTACCACGCATTCATGCAACCACGCCCTTGCTACACAAAAATTTAGATGGTTATGGTGTTCACACCTCTTGATTTTTCTCATTTCAAATGTTTGAACGGCTAGGCGTTCAAATTTTCGTACGGTTAGCGTGTTTCCGTGCAAATGAAACACCTAAACACACGAATTTGTTTTTCATCAGCATTTTATAGAAATTTTTGTTAATTTTCTTTTAGATATTCGCTGGAAATGATGACAAGAACAGCATTGTAAGAAGTGAACTATATGAGCCACTTGCTGCCAAGTTTATTCGTTTTTATCCAGTTACATTTCACAGCAGCAAAGCATTAAGGGTGGAGGTGTATAGATCTAAGAAAGGTTGGTCTCTTAGTACTTATCCAATACATGCAGTTCAAAAGACAACCACAGCATTAAAAAATGCACTTTGATTGTCAATGTATTTAGCTTAAAAGTACTAATTGGGAACACTATTATTTACGTCTGCTACTGGAGACGGCACCGCCATTTTACAAGGTCATCCGAGCTACGCGAAGGTCTACCCGTTTGCAGGGCATAGGAAGTTCCTTCATTTCTCAGTTATTTTGAGACCCTGAGTATTGGTCCGGCCTCGGGAATCTAACCCGCGACTTTCCTCTCTGCAGTCGAACGTTCTACCGACTTAGCTAACCCTGTCGCTAAATTTTGGTTTGTACATAAGATGCAACGAAACTGACTTACCACTTGGTTCAGTGCTCCGTTTTAATAGGGAGCTTAAGCATGCAACCACGACGGCGACGGCATCAAAAACCTCACTTAACAAAAAGGATCGGCGCTCTGTCAAACTTTATCGCTTTCTATTCATCACGCTAAAGTTGTCAAATGTTAGAGATTTTCCGGGGAGTTGTGTTCTAAAGTTTAGTATCACAGTTTTTAAAAAAAGAAAAGGAAAATCGTTGTCTTACGTTCACATTCTCCATGATACGTCAAGTTAAGAAGTTTCACGTCATTGTCATGTAGTGACGGCAACGAAATGTGCAAAAATACTTAATGCTCGTTCAAAGGTGTTGTTTTTCACATTATCCGGTTTTGTTTGAAAACGGATATTTTTTTCTCCGGTTAAGCCTACCTTCCACAATCACTAATGCAGTGAAAAATGATTACCGAAAATGCACCTTTTCAATAACGCTCTTTAGGGTGGAGATTTTTGAAAACGTCGGCTTTTCTTTTACGTGTGGACTGACGAAAACGGTTTCGAATTCGGAATACGATGATGTCATACATCATATACTTCCAGCATAACGCATGCTCAATAATAAGGCTATGGTATTTCCATCGTTTTAGCGTTTTCGTGTGGACGGGTGACTACGATTTGAATATGCTACGTGTGGTTGTGTATTTGTTTGAAAATGGAGGTAAAAATCTCCGTAATCAAAAATATCCGGATACATGTGGACGGGGCAAAACCTATTGCTTTTTTACCGTTGCCGTCGTTGGTTAGGCTTCCTAATTACTGCCTGACCAATCTTTGTACATCTATGCTTATTCCGCGTTTTCTTGTTTCCTCTCTGTTTAGTTTTCTCCTTTACTTTAGAAAAAGAGTGCTTTTAACAATTAGATTCACTATATTTTGTCCCTCCTCGTTTGTTTCCTTTTTTAGATGACCGTTCCATTCATGTACAGTTTTTGAAGGGTATCTAATAAATTCCCTATGATTTTGTGAAGTTAATTTTTTTCCATTTCACTCCCCAGGTTAAGCCTTTTTTTAGTGGAGAAAGGAAACCTAAAATTTTTGGAACCAAAAATGCGATGCAGAGAAAAATTCTCAATTTCGTAAAACTCTAAACTGCGGCTAAAATGTTCGGAAAAATAATGCTGAAGCCCTTGTAATTTCGAAAAGACTCAAGTTGCCCTAGGATGACCGAACAAATAAAATTAGCGCTACTTAGAATACATTTCTAGAGATCTAAAAGTACTCTGGATAGCCTAAAAAGTGTTTCAATGCATTTAGGAGGAAACCGTCGTTATTTTGGTTTTGGCTTATAGTCAATATAATAATGGTTTTTCCCCATTTGCCGGCGAAAAAGTACCTAGAAAAACTCTCTAGCATTTATGACCTTAATCTTTTCAAGCTAAACGTACCATCGTATCCATCCATCGTATCCATAGTCGCTACTATTCCCCGTATAGTTTCTGCAGATTTAAAAGTGAACTTCCCTGTCGTGCCAGTGATTTGAGCTTCTCTCTTCTACATAATAACATTAGGAGTCTTAAGCGAAACCTTGAAAACTTTCAAGTTCATGTATTGGACGAGTTGAATTTTGAATTTAGCATTATAGGAGTTTCAGAAACTAAAATTTATAATCAGCGGTAAAGAAATGGATTTTAATCCAAGCTTACCTGGATATATTTTTTGAACATGTTCCAACACCTCTAGCCTCTCACATTAATATTTTATTGTCTAAAAAGCCTCCTTTTGATAAAACAACATCATCAAACGAAAAAACCGATGTCTCTTATCCAGAAAAGTAGGTGCCAAAGATAATTGGAATTTTTGACAAGAATCATGGGTTAACCCCTTTGAAAAAACAACATCATCAGACGAAAAACCTAGGTCTCTTTTACAGAAAAAAGAGGCTTGAAAGAAATTTGGAATATTTAACCAGAATCATTACTTAACCCCTTTGGAAAAATGCAAATTTTTTGACTATAGTTACATGACATTTATGTCGTCTAAAAAGCCTCCTTTTGGGAAAACAACATCATCAGACGATAAAAACGAGGTCTCTAATATCGAAAAGTAGGCTGTAGAGACATTTGGAATTTTTTACGAGAATCATGGGTTAACCCCTTTGGAAAAGGCAAAGTTTTCGACTATAGTAAAAGAAAGGTGTTGGCTTGTATATTAGTGATTCTCTGAAATGTACTGTTGTTAAAGAAGTATCTGATAATTAAGCCTTCCAGTCATTTTGGATCGAAATCGAAACGTCTGTATGAAGCTAAAACGAGAGGTGGATGTATTCGGCGTAGTTCATTATGGAAGCCATTACACTTTCATCCCTTTTATACTTTTCTTATGTTGTTGTTGTTGTTGTTTTGTGAGTATGTACCTTCTACGTTAAGAATAATAACACGATAATAATTCATAATAATAATAATAATAATAATAATAATAATAAAGTCTTTATTCATCAAAAGATAAAAATACATATCTTTTGTTAAAAGTAAGTGTAAGAAATTTTAAAAAGTTAAAAAGTAAGAATTAAAAAAAATGTATATATATATATCTAGTATATTACATAGCTAACTCATATTTAAAAACTAGACGATTAATAAAAGAGTTTTTAAAGCGCATAGTGTTAATCTTAGGTTTAAAACAAGTTTCTTTCCTAAGATTGTAACTAGACGGTTTAACACGTGGCATAATAGATAAAAGTGGATGTCCTTTAGCATTAGAAACTTTTCTGAAAATTTTACGGTCTTGCCTCTCTAAGAAATCATTTTCCTTTTAAATCGGCGGTCTAAGAAACGTTGTACAGGTGTAAGATCGGACTCGGACGCGACGTAGACAGATAATGCGTAATTAACATTAGGCAGAACTATTGTATTAAAGAGAAGGTCTATTTCTGACTGATTGTACCCCTCTTTGTGCAGCGTTCTGAGGATATGTAGGGATTTGTTAGCTTGTTTTCTTCCTCCTTTTTTTTCATAAACCTAGGTTGTGTACTTTTTTTTTTCTAGTTTTTTTAGGTTGTGTACTTGATCCAGTAGGAGTGTCCAATAGTAGCGTTATTTCTGATCAGAGGTTTACAGCTTCGTCATCTCTTAGCGGCCGCAGTCCATCTGATGGCCGATTAAAAGGATCCAATGCCTGGATTCCTGTCACAAACAATGACATCAATGATTTCCTGCAGATCGATCTGGGATCTGTTTACTTTATTTGTGGAGTAGCAACACAAGGAAATCCAAATGGTAATGATTGGACAAAAACATACAAGATAAAGACGTCCCTGGATAATGTCTGGGGGACATTCTACTCTGAGGGTGGCTCCGAAAAGGTACATCCTGTTTTGCTCTAGATGAAGAAATAGCGAAATTATAATCGTGGAGACACTAAGTAATAAAGGATTGTGTTTATCTCTTAGCCTCGAGAAACCAGGATTTCACATGCCGAAGTTGCTTTCGTTCCTTTCTCCCCCTTCCATTCGTTTCCCATCTTCACCGTCTCTAGTTGGCCCCTCCTTTTCTTCCTGCCTCCTGCCTTGCCCTTTTTGTCCTCGTTACTACAGCCTTCTTTCCTTGGTCTCGTGCTGTTTACATTAGGAAACGTTAGGGAAATAAGTAGTAACATTACATTTCAAGGTCGCAAAGTGTGGAATTCTACAGAAGACAATACTAATTAAAACTTCTATCACTTTCAAAGTTTCCGAAAAAATGAAACTGGATTTTCTGCAAAATCATTAACTGTAAAATATTAATAGTATTATAGCTAATTTTATTCCTTGTATTCTTCAAAGCTATATTTTTGTAATCTCGTGTGCTTTTCTTTACTGCTTATTATAATTTATATGCTTTATGTGTGTCTGTGTTTTTTTTTGCTATGTGTGATTGCGTCGCTTACTTTATGTAATCGTCTTGTCATTTACCGACTTCAGGTAATTTTTATTTCATTATAAAGAAAATGGCTGTCTGGTCTTTTTTAAACGGCTTGGAAACTAAAATTTCGAGGACGTTTTTAGACTTTTTACATTTAGGGCATGAATTTTTCGTCATTTCAGGCCATGGAACCTAAAAATGAGCCTAGCTAGCTGTAAAAAGGGGCAATACGGAGGCAATACGTCCTAGCCGGCATGATCACATGCTGTTTACGGAAAATTCCCTCATCCATGTCAGGAAATTCTGTACTTTAAAGCCTCCCCTAGGGCATGACTCAGCAATTGAGGACATTTCTGTTACGTTTTCAATGTTGGTTAGCATGCAAGGATTTTTCCCATGCCTATCGTCAATGATCTGCTCACTGGTAATAGAGGGGGTGGCCCCAGAGGGGTTTTGCATTGAAAT